CCATGCAGGCCCCTATTATAAAAAATCATATGTTTACTCCTTCGATTGCAGATGCTACATTTAATTGCTGGATAGAAAAAGGGCTCACCACACTGAATGATTTATATAGCGATTCCAATTTCATGTCCTTCAACCAAATAAGAACAAAATACAATATCCCTAAAACACATTTCTTTAGATATCTACAGATCCGCAGTTTTATGATTTCTAATACAGTAGATTTTCCAACTTTACCTACAGAAACATTACTTGACACCATTTTAAAAACCAATCCAGTTCTCAAAGGTAATATAGGTGTGATTTACTCTTTTATCTCCTCACAAAATCTAACTTCAGTAACAAAGTCGAAACAACAATGGGAAAATGAACTTGAGTTGACCCTCTCTGAGGAAATTTGGCTAGACATTATAAATAAGATTCATTCAACTTCAATTTGTTTGCGACATACAATTATTCAGTTTAAAGTGGTCCATCGCCTTCATTGGACAAAAGCAAAATTAGCAAAATTTTTACCAACTATAAATCCCCTATGTAATAGATGTGACGTAGAAATAGCTAATCACACACACATGCTTTGGTCATGCTCTAAAATTACCAAGTTCTGGCAATTAATATTTAATTTTTTTTCAAATGTTTTACATGTAACAATTGACCCTTGCCCTGTTACAGGAATATTTGGTTTAATAACAGATCCCGGTTTAGACAATAATACCAAAAGCATGATTTCTTTTTCAACATTAATTGCTAGACGTCTTATACTGCTCAAATGGAAGGACAAATTTCCTCCAACTTTTAATCATTATATTAGGGACCTTATGTACCATCTTACAATGGAGAAGATTCAGTGTTGACATATATAAAACAAATGGATCAAAACTTAATTTTTTCAGTTTGACCATTATTTATGGGTTTCTCACATTTTTTTCCCTCCATTTTATTTGACTACATTTTAATTTCTATCTAAATTATTTAATTTCTTTGTTTTACATTTGCTAAGCCTATTGTGACTCGTTGTGTGCGTATATATGTACAATAGATGAGTGAACATATAATGGAACTTTTGTCTATTTGTATTGTATGTATGTATATATTGCGACAGAATGTAAAACAGATTAAAAATAGGCATAACATATTGTTTATAAACGGTGCTGTGGGGTGGGGGGGCTCTGTTGGAGCAAAGATCATTTTTCTCTGTTTTTCAATTACTTTTGAAATTGATGTTTTATTGACCAAAATGTTAATAAAAAGATTTGAAAAAAAAAAAAAAAAAAAAACAAGCAAAAACTCTTAATTTCTACTGATTTCTTCTGATGGTGAAAACTAAACATTATTTTTTTACTTGTTCTGAGAATTTATTTGATATTTGGACTAGAAATAAGACAAAAAGTAAGAAAAGCATTTTTTTTGCATCGTGATTATTTAATTTCTGTACCCCAATACTGTTGCTGTTATCTTCTGAAACTATGTTCATTCATTCATTCATTCATTCATTCATTCATTCTCTTTTCGGCTTAGTCCCTTTATTAATTAAGGGTTGCAACAGCGGAATGCACCGCCAATTTATCCAGCATATGTTGGAATGCCCTTACAGCTGCAACCCATCACTGGGAAACAACCATACACATTGCACACTCATACACTACGGACAATTTAGCTAACCCAATTTACCTGTAATTTGGACTTGGGGAAACCGGAGCACCCGGTGGAAACCCACGCAAACACGGGAAGAACGTGCAAACATGCAGACATGCCGAGGCTAGAACCAGCGACCTTCCTGATGTGAGGCAACAGCACTACCTGCTGCGCCACCTCATCGCCCAGTCTTGAACTTTATTTAAGTGGCAAACTTTATAATTTCTTGTGCCTAAATGGCTTAAATTCTCTTAAAATCTTACAGTCACAGGCCTTAAAAAAACACATCCGAATGAAAGTCTTTCATGTTATTAAATTAGAGTTACTCCTTGCAACGACTCCACAAATCACATTTTACAGTGATTACAGCAGATTTGCACATTGCAATATTAATGCTGAAATGCTATATTGTGCAGCCCTAAGTCCAAAAACATGTGGTATAGGTGAATTGGGTAAGCTAAAATTGTCCGTAGTGTATGAGCGTGAATGAGTGTGTATGGATGTTTCCCAGTGATGGGTTGCCGCTGGAAGGGCATCCGCTGTGTAAATCACAGATTAATAAAGGGACTAGGCCGAAATTAAAATAAATGAATGAATATCTTGTCTGTTGACTGCTAAAATGGCAATAAAATTCACTTTGTTATTTTTGTTTAAGTCGACAGAGATAAAAGACTTCCATGATGCAAATTCACAACTGTAAATGAACAGAAAACACCATGTGAACCACAAAACACTGTTAATTAATGAATATTATTACAGGGTTTATACTTTATATAGTATTCATAAACACTTTTATTAGCGACACTAGTGGACGTTTAGTGAACTGCAGTTAGCAACTTTGGCAAATGCTTGCACGTTACAAGAGACTAAACATGATTTTTTGCCTCTCTTTCCTGATATGTATCTTAAATTTCACTTAGTTCAATTTCACTATACGAAAGTGCATGTGACAAATAAAGGCCTGATTTGATTGAATGCCCTGATATACCGATAATAATATCCATATGCTGTCCACGAGCTGATAACGACATTTAAATGAATGTGTAAACATGTGCTGCGAATAAGCACACAAGAAAAACGACAACAGTGACAAAGCAGATTATCATAGTGATATGATTGTATGATGTTTGTACAAGCTCGGCAGTTCTCCGGGATAATGTCAACAGATGAGGTGATTAAAATGACAACTGTCTATGATGGTTTAATGATCATAGCTATGCAAGTCTTCAGTTGGAATTAACGTCCTTCTCATTTCACAACATACCAATGTTTAAGAACAGTGTATCAGCATGAAATTGCATGTTTCATACGTGTTTTTTGTAAGCATCCGTCACATAAATATTTACACACAGGCTTACATAGACAACCTAGAAAATTAGGGATTAAATTAAAGGTTTAAATGTTTATACATGGAGAAAACGGCGGCTCAGTGGTTAGCACTGTCACCTCGCAGCAAGAAGGCCTCTGGTTTGAGTCCTGGCTGAGCCACTTGGCATTTCTGTGTGGAGTTTGAATGTTCTCCCCGTGTTGGCATGGGTTTCCTTCGGGTGCTCTGGTTTCCTCCACAGTTCAAAGACATGCGCTATAGGTGAATTGGATGAACTAAATTGGCCGTAGTGTATGTGTAAGTGTGTATGGGTGTTTTTTCCAGTACTGGGTTGCAGCTAGATGAGCATCCGCTGCGTAAAACATATGCTGGATGATGCCCTGAGAAATAAGAGACTAAACCAAAGAAAAATGAATGAATAATTCCTAACTGACCTATTCTAAGTCTAATGCAACCTAAAATGACTCTCTCTTTCTCTCTCTCTCTCTCTCTCTCTCTCTCTCTCTCTCCTGCTCTCATGTGTAAGCTAACTCTGTGTCAGCAAATCAGACTGACTGACAGGCACCGAGTGTTTAAGATTGATTAAATTAATTGGTTAAATATCCCTCATTATCATTGTCGTTTCATTGACATCTGCCAGATAATCAGGACATTGTATATGCATGATCCCTCATTTAAAAAAAAGATCAAGAGGTTATTCAAAAAGGAAAACTAAGTCTTTATGTAGAAATAAGAAACAAAAAGTATAAATATAAGAAAAGCTTTTTTTTTTGCATCGTGATTATTTAATTTCTGTACCCGAATACTGTTACTGTTATCTTCTGAAACTGTACTCATTCATTCATTCATTCATTTATTCATTCATTCATTCTAATTTGGGCTTAGTCCCTTTATTAATCAAGGGTTGCAACAGCGGAATGGACCGCCAACTTATCCAGCATATGCTGGAATGCCTTTCCAGCTGTAACCCATCACTGGGAAACAACCATGCACATTGCACACTGATACACTACGGACAATTTAGCAAACCCAATTTCTTTACCAACATAATAAAAAAGCTGAAAAAAATTAATCTTAATAATTCTAAATCTGTTAAATAATATACAAAACAATACAAAAGAGGCATAAATATGAAAAGGAAAGGTGAAAAGGTGTTTTCCTGTATAAGTAATAAACTGTAGTACCACCCATGGAGAAGCCAAATATATAAATGAACCGCCAATTTATCCAGTATGCCCTTCCAACTGCAGCCCATCGCTGGAAAACACCCATACACACTCAATCACACACATACACTACATCGAATTTAGCTTACATAATTTCCTTTTCATATTTTATGCCTCTTTTCTATTATTTTGTATTTTATTTTACAATGATATTATTATTAATAACATATTTTCAGCTTTTATATGATGTTGGTAAAAGCAGACAAAACCTTTTGTTTTCATATTTTATGCCTTTTTTCCATAATTTTTGTATATTACTTTACAGATATTATTATTATTATTATTATTAACATTACATTTTTTCATGTAATTTCATGTAGTTTTATTATTACATGTTCTGTTTTTATAAGATGCTAGTAAAGACCAAAGACAATGTTTACCTTTTTCTATATTTATATGGCTTCTCCTTTGGGTGGTACTACAGGTTTTTACTTGTACAGGAAAACACCTTTTCACCTTTCCTTTTCATAGCACAGCCTTTATATGATGTTGGTAAAAGCAGAAAAAACCTTTCCTTTTCATATTTTATGCATTTTGTGCACTATTGTTGTATATTACTTTACAGATATTACTATTATTATTAATATTAACATTACATTTTTTGATGTGATTTCATGTAGTTTTATATGATGCTGGTAAAGACCAAAGACAATGTTTACCTTTTCCTTTACATATATACTATTTTATTTATATGAAACAGTATAAAAGAAAGGCATAAAATATGACAAGGAAAGGTTTTGTCTGCTTTCACCTGTAATACCGCCCTTACCTAAGGAGAAGTCACGCCCATTCCAGAAGCGCTTCAATGAAACTGTTTCATGACGTGTTTGCCCCGCCCTCTCTCCCCCAGAGCGGCTTTGCGCTGCTCGCTGGAGTCGCAGGCGCTTCACAACAATGTAGCACACGCATAATGGGATTTACCGGCTTCACTTTCAAACGTTTTTGTTGTTGTTTTAAAAATTAATAAGACTTTCGCTTCGACTTCAAAGGGAATGAAACGCAGTGCCGCTGAATGAAGTGAGTAAAACTGAGTCCGCTGAGAAACTTTTCCTGCATTTATGCCTGATTTAGATTGTGAGCGCTGAATGTTAATCTGTAGACGCTTTCAGAAAGACACTTGCTGTTTGAAGAATAATACAAGTGCATTTCTGTATTTAAAATAATGACATTTGTGATGGATATGTTTATAGTTGTGTTATATTAAGTTGTAGCGAGTGTCAAAGGAGTTATCTTGGGTTTAAGAGATTATTAAGCAGCGCAATTAGGAATAATGTATTATATTAGTCATTTACCTGACAGGGATTTTTATTACTGAGGTAAATTTGGTTTTAGACTTTCAAACTTTTTAATTAGTAATATAAATTCAGAAAAGTATTCTTTGCAAATTCTAAATAGTGAAATTATTTTAGCAGCCATGCAGTGAATATTAAAGTACAACGCTGTGCACAGTCAAATACATAGTGCTAATGTTGCTTTGAAGCCATACTTGCATGTGATTTCAGACCGAATATTCAATGTACCATGGTAGACAATATAGGAAGCATGTCACAGTTGTCACTGAGTGAATGTGCGAATATAAAACCAACTTTACCTCAATATTTGTATTTAGTGTTTCATAATTTACCAGCAGAGCACTGAACATAATGTATCTTTGTGTCCAGCGTGTTTATATTTTATAACCTCTCACTGCAGATCTCAGAGAGTATCCATTGATTTTTTTTTTTCTCTTGCAATCTATTTCAAGCTCTAACAAGCTTCACTTTGATAGTAAAGAAAAAAAGAAACATGAAAAGCCTCTTTCTGTAAGAGTCTGGCTTTGAAATGTAGTTTGGAAACATTTTTAATAAACTAACCGAGCATTATTCAGTTCTGTCTATAAAACTTTCTGATTAAGATTGTTAATAATCGTACATAAATAGCATCACACAAATGTTCCTGCATTTGAAACAATCATCAGACAGCTGCGTGGCTATTCTCAAGACTCCAATTAGACCAAGGTGTCTAGTCAGAGACCTCCAAATGGCATGATAACCTGTTGTGGAGTGTATGTAATGTATTCAAGCCTAATTGGAAGAGAACTAAATGTTTAATCACACATTTACTCAGTGGTTTTCCAGCTTCTGTATCAGCAGCTTGCGGTTATTGTACTATTCCTGGGGGAGGTGTGGTGCGCCACTCTAGGAGTCGTGTTTGGGATTGTGTCTTTTCAGCGAGCCGTACCAAGTTTCATGAAACCCGAACATCTCTTTTCACCCTCTGTTTCTTTTTTTTTTTCTTTACGCACTCCCCCTGTTGTTATGACTCCATTGTCTCCTTTCTAAATGCCTCCTCCCTTTTAGTCCCTGAGGAGCGGTGGGTTTTCACCTTGTGTTCAGCATATGGGGGGCGTAATTTGCTGCTCGTGTTGACATTCTTTTATTGTTTCGCACACACGGTGCCCACAAACAAGTTTTTCCTCCCTTCAGTCTCTAATTCGAAATTGCAATCCTGCATATTTGCATTTTCGTTCCCTCTTCAAAGGCGGCCCTTATCTTGTAAAATGTTTGGCTTGTAAACGCTTTAGGGAACCTTCATTCTTAGTCGTTATTACGCTCACTAAGCTGGGCAGACAACAAAAAATACAGCTGTTTTTGTTCTTTTCATCCTATAAAACAGCTATTAAAAAAATGAAAATCCTGTCATTGTTTACACACTCTTTACCTTTATGAGTTTCTTTTTTCTGTTAAACACTAAAAGAATATATATTTTAAAAGAAGCTGGAAACCTGTAACCATTGACTTCCATTGTATTTGTTTTATTCTATAGTTTAAGACAAAATAATTTCATTTAAAGTGACGGTTCAACCTAAAAAGAAAATTCTGCCATCATTTATTCACCCTTTACTTGTTTCAAGCCTGTTTGAGTTTCTTTCTTCTGTTGAGCACAAAAGAAGATATTTTGAAAAATGTTGGAAACCTGTAACCATTGACTTCTATAATATTTATTTTTGTGTGCCATAGAAGTGAAAGCCACTGCTTATGAGTTGAGTTCAAAGTATTAGAAAACAACATGAAGATTTTTAATGCAAGCTAAAATTATTTATAATTTTTGCTTCTAAGTTGTCAAAACATTGGTTTAACCTTGACTTTCAAGTTTAAAACTCTTAGGTTTAAGACAATACAATTTCATTTAAAGTGACAGTTCACCCAAAAAAGAAATGTCTATCATAATTCATTCACCCTTTACTTGTTTCAAACCTGTTTGAGGGTCACAAAAGAAGATATTTTGAAAAATGTTGGAAACCTGTAACCATTGACTTCCTTAATATTAGTTTTTCCTACTATGGAAGGGAAAGCCACTGCATAGGAGTTGAATTCAAAATGTTTGAAAATTACATTTAGTTACTAAACAACATTAAGAATTTCAATGCAAGTTGTCCAAAACTATGTCTATCTTATACTTTCAAGCTTAAAACTCTAAGTTTAAGATGAAATCCTTTTATTTAAAGTGACAGTTCACACAAAAAACAGAATTCTGTCATCATTTATTCACCCTTTACTTGTGTCTAGCCCGTATGCGTGTTTTTCTTCGGTTAAACACAAAAGAAGATATTTTGAAAAAATATGTTGGAAAGCTGCAACCACTGACTTGCATAGTATTTGCTTTTTCTAGTTTAAGACAAAATACTTTCATTTTTGTTCACTCAAAAAAGACAATTCACCCAAAAAAGAAAATTCTGCAATCATTTATTCACCACTTATTTCAAGCCTGTTTGCATGTCTTTCTTTGGTTGAACACAAAAGAAGATATTTTGAAAAATGTTGAAAACCTGTAACCATTGACTTCCTTAAAGGTGCAGTAAGTGATCTTTCACAATGCTAACAGCTTAGCATAAATCTCTGAATCACAGTCCCTCCTCTGCAGTCTAGAGCCACACCTCCTTAAATACGAGCACAGCAAAAGAACCCTCTCTCATGTGTCAAAAGCGAATAGTGCTTGTCTGGCGGCGAGCAAGCTAAACTGACATGCTATTTCACAGTGAATATTTAGAGTTGCATGGTAAACAATATAGGGAAACTAGGCGGAATAGCGCAATTTACTTGTGTAAAATCTACATTATAGATGCTGTAAAAGGTCCCTTATGAAACTGAAAATAGTCTTATCAATCTTGTATCGGAAGATTTTAGTGGCTGAGCGACCCATTTGTAACAACATCGAACGTTACATCAGCTTTGCATGAAGCTAAATTAGTTTTAAAACAAAACATTACCTGTCTAAGAGAAATCCTTCAGCCATTGTGTCATCCTTTCTCCAGCGTGCAAAGGTGACTCCAATATTGATTCAGGTTTTAAAAAAAGTTTTGATTAAGCAGGTTTTCACCAATCGCGCGCGCACACCCTCTCTCGTGAACGCGCGGCACCAACAGTGGCGCAGTTGTTCAGATCTGCATTTGCTGACAGACAGATTCGCCTACTTATCGGAATTATGAGAGATGTCGGTCCTATTTAATTGGATGAACATTTTTTTAGTTTTATACCTTACACAAAATATAAAAATACATATAAATACATTTAGATTATTTACTTGAATCATTACTATTGAACTGTGAAGAGACTTTCAACCAGCACAACAAAAAAGGCTTCTGAAGACAATCACCTGGACCTTTAATATTTGTTTTTCCTACTATGGAATTGAAAGCAACTGCATAGAAGTTAAAATTCAAAATGTTGGAAAATTACATTTAGTTTCTAAACAACATTAAGAATTTCAATGCAAGTTAAGATTGTTTTTAATTTTTACTTATACGTTGTCAAAACATCTGTCTAACCTAGACTTTCAGGTTTAAAACTCTAAGTTTAAGACATAATAATTTAGTTTAAAGTGACAGTTCACCCAAAAAAGATACTTCTGTCATCATTTATTCACCCTTTACTTGTTGCGAGCCTGTTTCAGTGTCTTTCTTCGGTTTAACACAAAAGAAGATATTTTGAAAAATGTTGGAAATCTGTAACCATTGACTTCCATTGTATTTTCTTTTTCTACTACGGAAATTAAAGTCACTGCATAGGAGATGAAATTAAAATGTTAGAAAACAACATGAAGAATTTCAATCCAAGTTAAAATCATTTATCATTTTTACTTATAAGTTGTCAAAACATCCGTCTAACCTTGACTTTCAGGTTTAAAACTCTAAGTTTAAGAAAAAATAATTTAATTTAAAGTCGCAGTTCACCCAAAAAAGAAACGTCAGTCATTTTCAAACCTGCTTGAGTCTCATAAAAGAAGATGTAGAAAAATGTTGACTTTCTTAATGTTTGTTTTTCCTACTATGTAAGTCAATGGTTACAGGTTTTCAGCTTTCTTCAGAATATTAGATTTTGTGTTTAACAGACACTCATAAACGCATGAACCCTCTTGAGTAAACAGTGAGTCAATTTAAATTTTAGGGCGGAGCTATAAATTCAAATAGGGTGCGTATTGTACAAAGTAGCCTGTGAATTAGCGCCAGCTCCCTTCCTGTCAGTTTCAGCAGAGTGAGCGTGTTTATCTGCCCCCATCAAATAATTAATGTTGCATTTTTATGCACGCAGATGCTTGTCAAGGTGCTGATGAAAGCAGTGTGGGCCGCTAGCTAGCGAGCGAGAGAGAGAGAGAGAGCCTGGCGGTGTGAAAACGAGAGTCGAGGGTGAAACCTAATAATCATCATCATACGGTTGATGGTTCCAGAACTGTTTTTAAAATTCACAGAGAGTAGACGCACTTCTCACACTCATCCAGCTTATGAATATAGATGCGCACCTTTCTAACCTGGCAGAACTGTTGAATTCAATCAGCGTAAAATTGAAACGGCACTTTTTCAAAAAAGGTGTCCCGTGATTACCTGTAGGTTGCTTTTAGAAGAGCTCTTTTCCTGTAGATTCGCAGACTTTGCTTGTGATAAAAGCTTTGCTCGAGCGTCATTATATCACCCATTGTGGCCATTACGGCTCATTAGCATCAAAATAAGATGTCATCATATTTGTTTGTTCGGAGAAGGT